GGATCTTCTCCGGTTTCTTCTTGTTCTTTTATGGTGGCGTCGAGCGGCGGAGAATTCTTCTATGGTGGCGACGATGGCTGGTCGGAGAGAAGTCACCAGTTTTTGAAAGCCATAAGGATTAGGCCGTGCGACCGCCGTAGAAGCATTCAAATCGAGTCGCCGTAGGAGAAAAATGACAAAACGACCTCTGGCCGCAAGCAGATCTAAAAAAAAAACAGATCTTGAGAGAGTTTTTTGTCAACGGCAAAAAGAAGACGAGTGAGGAAGAGTTACCGTTTTCTGCCGTCGACCAACAAGAAATCCAGTAACAAGAGGAATTTGGCGAATGCGAGGAAACACGAGAGAAACAGCTAGGATTTTCTGTCAACAATGTTTTTTTTTCCAGCAAAATATCTTTTATATGTGGGATCATCTTTTTGGTTAGGTTAAAAAATTTTGGTTTAATTTCGGTTTAAATCTCAATTTAGATAATTTATTCGGTTTAGTAGACTTCCATAAGAAGTCTACAATGATAAACCCTAAATCAAATATTTTCTTTTTATTAATTTAAAACCATAAATTTAAACATATGAATGTGAAACAATAATTTATATACATTGAAAATAATCATATCTAATTTTGATACCAAAATATTTTTTTATAAATTTTAAAATTAAATTTTCTGATTTAGTTACATAGTAGACTTCATATCTTTTGTAAGTAGACTTCTTCCAGACTTTAGTAGACTTCGTCAGAGAGTAAACAGTAATTAGGATATCCATTTTTTGTTTATTCATACAGGATTAAATGGTTTTTTCACTACTCCTATAGGTTATATCTGTCAAATATTTTTTCAGTGGTCTATTTTTATATTCAAAATCAAGTTTTGGGTTATTTTTAGTAAAAATCCCTTATAATATACACCTTTTATTATATTATTGGTTGATTACTTGATATACTCAGGGAAAGGGTAAAAAAGTTGTATTACCAGTTTTACCCTTATTCTCTTGGATAAATAACACGCTCACTGTGCACGAAAGGGAGGGTAAAAATGTAATTTATCGCTCTTTACTCTACTTGAGTCTACTTGTACATACGTCACGGCTATATATCAGAGCAGGGAATAAACTCTGCATTGCAACAAACTTTGTACTTTCCCTCCCCTCCGTTTCTTCTCTTCCTTTCGTCTCTGTCAACCGAAAAACAAAATCAGTTCGTCGGAGAAATCAGAACTGCTCTTCTTTTTGTTTGCTCCGATCGGAATCTCTTAAGCTACTTTTTTTTTTCCATAGAAATCTTCGGAAGTTTTGGTACTCTCCATTTCTGGATTTTGGAGGAATTTTTGCCGTTTTTCGTTTAGAGACTGAAGAAAAGAAGAACGGAAATCTAGGGTTTCCATGGAGCAGGTGTGAAGAAACTCAAACTTGGAATGTTTCTTTTGTTTTCTTTCTAATGTTTATCTTCTTCTTCTCTTTTTGCTTGAAACGAAGATGATTGATTCATGATCGAAACTTATCTTCTCGTCACAACGTTAGAGATTTCTAGTTTCGTCTTGAGATTCTTTGAAAGAAAGAAAGTTTAATCTTCGATTTCTCTCAATTGCAGGAACCTCCTCTGAATGTCGATTTCACTGCCGGAAAAGTATCTCCGGTTGGTTATAACGTCAACGCAGAGATGCGATGTTTAGATTCCGTCTTAAAGGACGACAGATCTGAGTTTTTTTTACACGCAAAACACCTCTTTGTCGGAGAAGACGCGGAAACAGAGAGAATCGAAGCTTTGAAGCTTCTTAGCGCTTGTTGTAGTAACGATTCTATAAACTGTGCTTCATCAATCATCAACGGAGATGTTGGATCCGTTCCGTATATAGAAGATGTATGTGGTGATACAGGACTCTCGCCTCTACACACGGCGGCTAAGTCTCACGCGGGACGGTGTGTTGAGATGCTTCTGAAACAACGCGCTCGTACTGATATGAGAAGCAAAGACGAACGTGCTTTGATTCCTCTGGAGCTTTCTCTTCTCAATGCCTGGTATAAATCTTCATTTGACATAAAAGGCTTTTATTAAGAGCCTTGAACATGCACGTCTGAAATCTTACCATATTTGGGAATTGAGACTCTGCAGCTGCATTTAGTTTTTCTACGTCTTCTAATTCGTTTGTCCTTATGTATCAACTTTGCAGCCTTGATGTGACCTGGAATCCAACTAGTGACTCGACTGGAGACTTGATCCTCTTGCTTGGTCACAAGGTTAAACCACTTAATTCCTTTCATGCGTAATTTTAATTGGTTGCTTGGAGAAACTATGTTTTGATTACGAATCATGTTTATAGGACTTGACAGTGGTGAAACTACTTGCTGAGAAGACAAAGGATGTGAACACGTTGGCTTACGTGTATGCTAAGTCTGGTGCAATAGTTTCTTTGACTGCGTTGTTGACAGTAGCAACTGAAAAGATCAGAGAGGCAACCGTAGCATTAAGGGATGATGATGATTCTGTGCAAAAGCCGAGAAGAAACACAATCTATGAGGCTGTTATTCATGAAGCGCTGCAGAATAATAGCTCGAAAAGAATCGTTTTCCTTCGAGAGATTGAGCTCCTTCAGCTCTTTGGTGCTGCAGTTTTAGTGAATCTGTGGATAAGCAAAATTCACCGCTTATCTCCGTTGTACAGGTGAGACTTGGATTCTTCATTAGAGTTAATTCAGTATGTGAACTCCACATGCGAATTTGTTGAGGGACGTTGTAATGTAATCTGTAGGCAGGAGATGAAGCTGTTCTTGAGCTGCTTTTAAAGACCAACATTGATGTTAACGAAACAGATGCGGAAGGGAATACTATTATACAATGCAGCCTGAAGGGGTCTTCTCTGCCACATAAGCATCAAACAAGGTATGATCTCTCTCTCACTGTAGCTATTATGTTAATCATGTACAGTAACGTCGCTTTTTGATGATTACTTCCCAACTTGAGAATGATACATTTGCGTATCCAGAATCATGCAGCTACTTATTGCACACGGTGCCCGAGCTAGCCAAAAGAATAAGTTGGGTTTATCTGCACTACACTTTGCTGCTGCAAATGGCAATTTATCTGCACTTGAGGTATAATTCACTTGTTTTTTCGTTTCTCTTCCTAACCTGAAACAAGATTATGACACTTGCCCTGAATTTTGAGCGTACAGGTTCTACTAGCGGCCAATCCTAACTTGGTTCACGTCAAGACAGTAACCAAAGAGACACCACTATCCTTTGCAGTGAAGAATAACCATCTTGACTGTGTTGAGCTGCTTCTTCGATATTGTGCAAGTACAGAGATCCGTAATCTTCGGTGTGTCAATACTCTCGAATCATTTGTTTTAACAAACTCATCACTATCTATGGATCCCTCGGTGTGACTTCATTTATCTTGTGCTTAACAGAGGAGAAAACTTCCAAGGACTCGGGACATATTGAAAAATGAGATCAAGAAAAGTAGGGAGTGGAATAGCAAGTTTTTCGAAGAACATCGTATAAAAAAGTCTGTGAAGGATGAAATCAACCAAACCAAACCATGTAGCCAGATTTCTTATCACAGGGATAAGGTTAAGGGGGGGGGAGATTCATGCTTTGGGAGGTTGCTGAGAAGACACCGAGTGAGAAGCTGTTTGAAGAAAACTGGAAAAAGTCATCAGGCCCTGTTCGAAATCAAAGATCTCACGGTGGTTTTCTTTTATCTTTTCTGATTTTGATTTTTGATATTTCTAATTCTATATAGTTAACCGAAACTCAGATACTAATTTTTCTTTTTTTTTGCCTTACAGATAATTGTTGGAGTTATGCTGGAACCGATTTGTTTAGTGCTAGGAGGCTGCTCACAGGAGAAGATGAGAAATTTCGCATCTTCAGCGCGAAGTATCTTGCTTTCTACGCTAGCCCAATGATGCGAGTTATAGAATCACGTTACGGTGAGAGAAAGGACACTCACCATTGTCATGGCTATACTATTGCTAAGACACTACAGTTTATCAAAGAAAATGGCGTTCCAGAAGAGGATCCTGAAGATGCTGAGAAGGATTACAGTTGTATTTCAGAGGCTCCAGAAAAAAATCCTCCAGATTTGTATAAGTTGCCTAAAGATGTGGAAGTGCGTGTATCGAGCATGCTAGAAGATCTCTATGAGATGCTATTGCATCAACCAGTTGGCGCAGATCTCCACGTTTTTACTCCTGAATTCACTAATATCGGTTCGGTAAGTTTTATACTTTTTTTTCCCAAATTTTGTTTCTATTAAAAATCACTAAGTTAAGATACTCATGAAGGTGACAAAACTGACAAGTGTAACGTTATTTGCAGGACATTTATGAAGGTCCACAAAGTGAGGAGTGTACGTATGCAGGAGTACACACTGTGGTGATAACTGCAATTAAAAGGATCAAAGGGGAAACTAGTGGCTATTGTGAAAAATAGCCACGGTAAAAGTAAAGGGAAAAATGGATATATAAAAGTTTCCCTCACAAGAATGATTCTTGGTCGAGGAGGAGGTAATATGATCCTTTCTCCTTCCTTCCTACTCACCGACTTTACCTGTCCGATAATAGCACCAAAGAAAAAGGGGAAGAAAGAGAGGAAAAGGGAGAAGAAAGAGAGAATGGAAGAGGCAAAGAAAAGAAGGGCGAATAAAGAGAGAATGGAAGAGGAAGAGACAAAGAAAAGGAGAATGTGAGGAAGATCAAATTTGGAACTTGCTTAGCGTCAGATATTCTACATTCTATAAAACAAAAGTATTTTCAAGAGCTTACCAGAATGTGTTTTTTTCAAGCAAGGAAATATGGAAATTACCGTCTTTTATATTTAGTAACAAAATAGTGAATTGACTAATGGGCTTGAACAGCGACAAAACAAAACAAATTTTAAACTTGGGGGCCCAAAGGTCTCCAGCAACCGAGAATGCGTGACTGACCAAACACGTTGAACAGAATATCTCCTGAGCTTAAACCCTATTTACCTAACCACGCCATTTGCAGAATTTTGAGGTTCATCTTCCTCTCGCCAATTTTCCCGATATCTCTCGCTTTTCTGTCTTTGGTCTTCCGAGTTCAAGCAAGTAATTTTAACAAATTTCTCTGGTGTGTTGCTGCTATAACTTGTGACAAAGTCTCTGTTTCTTTTAAGCTGATTTGTAGATTCATTTGCTTCTGTGTCGTCGATCCGAGTTTTCTTTGGGTCTAATTAACACATTTAGGCAACAAAGCATGATTCTTCTTTGAATTTTATGTCCTCTTGTCTCTTTCATTTCATGAATTTGACGATTTGGATGTGTTGTAGCTGTACGACTAAGTAGATTTGAATCCAGATTTGAATCGCGTATGTTTTTTTTGCCTCGATAGATTTTTGATGTAGTTTCACACGTGACTTGTTTCAGGTGTTGTTGAAAAAAGAAGATGAATTTCAAGAATGTTAACGTTCCCAAGGGTCCTCGTGGTGGTGTCATAGCTGCGGTTCTTCTCGGTGGGCTCGGACTTTACGGCGCCACACACACTTTCTATAATGTTGAAGGAGGGCATCGAGCCATTGTCTTCAACCGTCTTGTTGGTATCAAAGACAAGGTTAGCTGTGTCTATAGAAAATTGCTTCTTCTTTTTTTTCCTAAATCTGGTAAATCAGTATCCTCGTTTGCATCACCTACCTTATGTAATGTCTTAGTATCCTTGTTTATTAGTCAGGTTCTCAATTGTGATGCACTAGTGAATGACATAGGTAATAATATATCTTATGGTTATGCAGGTTTACCCTGAGGGTACCCACCTCTGCTTATGATCCCGTGGATCGAAAGGCTCATCATTTATGATGTTCGTGCACGACCTTACCTAGTTGACAGTACATCCGGGAGCCGTGATCTGCAGATGGTACTCTCTGCTTCATTTCTCTCCTCTAATACTCTAATGGGTTTTGAGGCTGGTTTTACCTGTTTTTGGTCTTATGAAACTCATCATAAGCTTATGTTACGTTGGATTGAAACATTCAGGTTAAAATTGGACTCCGTGTTCTCACCCGTCCCATGGCTAACCAGTTACCAGAGGTTTACCGAACCCTTGGTGAGAACTACAGCGAGAGAGTTTTGCCTTCCATCATCCACGAGACCTTGAAAGCTGTGGTTGCTCAGTACAACGCAAGCCAGCTTTATACTCAGAGAGAGGTTAACCAACTAACTTTACTAATTTTCATGTTATGATTCCTCTTTAATGGTGAAGTTGTTATTTGTTCGCCTTTTTATTTAATGGCTGAGATTTTCGTTTTGTTTGTTTTATTTAAAAGGCGGTGAGTAGGGAAATCAGGAAAATCTTTACAGCACGGGCTGCTAACTTCAACATTGCGCTGGACGATGTGTCCATCACAGTCTTGACATTTGGAAGGGAGTTCACGGCAGCCATAGAAGCCAAGCAGGTGGCTGCTCAAGAGGCTGAGCGGGCTAAGTTCACTGTGGAGAAGGCTGAACAGGACAAGAGAAGTGCTGTTATCCGCGCTGAGGTTCGGAAAATCTTTTTTTTTTTCCCATTTTCGATCTCATAGAAAGACCCGAGACTGATAAAACCTTTTGCTAAGAGTGAAGTTTCTTCGTGGGTTTGTTTGTTGTGTAGGGAGAAGCCAAGAGTGCTCAGCTCATAGGTCAAGCAATCGCAAACAACCAAGCTTTTATAACACTGAGGAAGATTGAAGCGGCTAGAGAGATTGCACAAACCATTGCAAACTCGGCGAATAAGGTCTACTTGAGCTCCAACGATCTGTTGCTTAACCTACAGGCTATGGACCTTGATTTGAAGCCGAAGAAGTAGAAGAACGAGAGCTCTCTCTTCTCTTCCTTTTCGTCTTTCCAATTCGACCCAAAGCTTGAGATTTCAGACAGTATCGTGTACGGCCTTTGCAATGATTATTTCTCAGACACTTCAAAGACAAAAGGTTTATTGTAATATTGCAACTTCTTTCAAAATGGAAATAACAATAATCTGCAAAAAGATTAAAAGTGGGCTTGGAAATGAAATCGTGCTTCTGGCAACCACCACGAGCCTTCTCTTCGTCGCTGCTTGCTTAGCTCAAATGGCCTTCCATGAAAAAGAATTACTTGGTGCCTTTTCTACAGCGATTCATAAGCCGAGCAGAGTGGAAGAAGATCCATGCCACCATCATCATACATGGACTGTCGCAGAGCAGCTTTATGGTCATCAAAATGGTTGATGTAGATTGGAGACATGGAGTATGCAACTCGTCTTTTCGACCAGGTTTCGGATCCTAATGTCTTGTTGTATAATTCCATCATATCGCGCTTATACTCACAATTCATTGAATCGGGATGTGATCCGATGTTATATCGTGGAATAGTATGCTTTCTGGATATGCACGGCTTGGGCAGATGAAGAAGAGCAAAAGCATTGTTATTCATTCCTTGTCGGAGAAAACAATTGTGTCTTGGACTGCGATGATCTCTGGGTACACCGGGATTGGATGTTATGCAGAGGCCATGGGGTTGTTCCGTGAAATGCAGTTAGCTGGTATTGACCCTGACGAGATCAGTCTCATTTCTGTTTTACCTTGGTGTGCTCATCTCGGATCGCTAGAAAGGGATTTCTGAAACAAATTGGTGTTTGCAATGCTCTTATTGAGATGTACTCCAAGTGTGGCACGATTAGTCAAGCTGTCGAATTGTTCAACCAGATGAATGGAAAAGATGTTATATCGTGGAGTACAATGATCGATTCTCAGGGTATGCACATCATGGAAACGCTGACTAGAGACGGTGGTGATCGTCCTGATGAAGACAATGAAGCTCGCTCTCTTCATTATTACTCTTCTCTTATTGTTTGTTAGACCAATGTTTGATTTCTCTATATTAATATTTCCTTCATTTCATAACACCTACAATGTTGAGATTTTGGTAGGCTTTGGTCCATGATTTCGCTGCTGCTATATTTCCTCTCAAACCATGTGATGGTGTTGGTAAACGTTTTATTTTAAGGAACCTATCTAGCATTTTTATTCACAATCAAAGAATAAACGAATCATCAAATACAAAAGAATGAATAAAATTAGAAGACTATGGTTGACTTTCTATCATCAAAGAATGACTCTCTCAAGATGCTTCTGTGACCAAATGAATCCCCCAGGAAGCTTCTGATCCCTGTAGCTTCTGTTCCACCAACCCTAAACATGGTTTCTTCTTCTCTGCGTACTAATTAAGTTTCCACTTACATTGGGCTTACAATCTCGACCTCCTCGGTGTGACATTTGAGGTTAATGAATGCTTCAAGAGCTTCTCTCATCCACCAATTCTGACATACTTCTCTTGCCTCATCCAAACCAACCCATTTGCGTTGTCTAATTTCCGCCTCGGGCCATCGCTCAAACTCTTGGTTAACAAGCAAAACAAACATGTATCCTTGGTGAATCATGCTGTGTCTTTTGCTTTTGTATTGCCATTTCCCTAGCTTTTCTTCGAGCTCTCCTGTTACACCCGCTTCCTCGATCGTCTCTCTCAGAGCTGCTTCCTCCATTGATTCATCAATCTCCCAACCTCCTTTTGGGAATAACATTCCTTTGCCCTTTTGAGCACTGATGAGAAGAACCTCGATTTCTTTGGATTCATTTCCATTGATTTCTTGTTTCTTGTATCTGTACGGTACGCATCTGCAGAAAAATTTGACCAATTTCAAAAAGAGATTCCAAAATGAACACCAATAAATAGTTCTCAAATTTGGAAATTTTCAAGACGTTTATTAAACTACGCGCGATTAAAAAACCGACATAAATCTTTTGAGATTTCAAATTACCGCGGGATTAGAGAAATCCATACTAATAGTCGTTAGCTGTGTAAAGATCTTGAATTTTAAAAAAATTGGTTTTTTTTCCACAGAATTTTCCAAAGTTTTTTTTTTTTTACCACCAAACAAATATCAAAATAGCTTTAATCCTGAATCATACGGAAGTAATCATTGCCAAATTCTATAACGTAGAGCCACGGGCAAAGAAGATAAATTTCGAATTGGGGGGGGGGAATTTATCGATATAGAACCAAAATTAGGGATTCGAAAAACGACGTACCCGACGACTTGACGATACCCAGCGTTATCGTAACGCTGCAAATCCCTGCCGGTGCGAGAGACCAAAGAGACAACCTTCTCGATCTGGGCTGGAACAACCTTCGACGGGATGGTCTCGAAGATCGGAGACAGATACGAGGCGACATTTGACAAGTTTGAGACGAAAAGAGACACAGAGAAGCCTGTCATTTTGAATCCCTAACGATGACTTACGAATTCAGAACAAGAATTTGAGATAGAATCAAAGGCTCTGTTCTCGAATTCGGAGAGAGAATCGGTTTAAGGAAGCCCTGTGAGAGAGAGAGGAAAATGGATAAGCAACAAAAGAGAGAAAGATGTTTGAGATTTGTTGAGATTGTTAAGGTTTTAGGGACTGTCTTTATATGGAAAATCCCACGAGATGTTAAAAACTCCCACGCGCTTCAGGTGACGACGTTTCGTTCAACCTCTTTTTTTTTTTATAAATCAACTCGATCCATTTATTCGAAAAATATTATTTGGCGGGCTGTTTAACTTGATTTCCCCGTTAGTGAATTGATTTCTTTTGGCTAACTGACTTTAATATGTTTAACTGTTTTCTCTCTGTATTTTTCATGAGACAGCTCTTTCCCAAATACCATTTAAAAATCAGCATTCTAAACAAAAAATTTATCGGTTATTAGATAGTAAACCAATTATGTCGGTTTATTATTCTGTTGGTTTATTATTGGTTTACACATTGTGTATATAAGTTAGAGGATAACTAATTGTACAGATAAACACTTGATTGAATAACAAACTTTTTCTTCACTATCTCTCTCGTTCGTCAATGATCTTGAGGTTTGATTGACAAAGATTTAATATGGTATCAGAGCTTCAATGAATCTTCCGCGTGCTTCGAGATCTATTGAGAATGAGTTGTGCGATTCCGATTTCGTTTCATCTTCTTGAGCTACTATACGCCATTGTTGCGGATTGTGTAATCGGAATTGTTTCATGCTTCTCCGTCCTGATTTTGTTGATTTCTCTTTGATTGACCTTTGTGCGTTCGATTTCTTGCTCTCTCGACCAATTTTCTTTTATTTTCTTTGATTTTTCTTGAATCATGAATAACCAAGCTACACATCAAGTTCCGAGTCCTTCTATGGTGAATCCTAATGCTCAATCTTCGAATACACAAGATCACTATGAGAATCCGTATTATCTCCATACAAACGATCATGCTGGTCTTATTCTTGTTTCCGATCGACTTACGACTGCTTCGGATTTTCACTCATGGAGGAGATCTGTGCGTATGGCTTTGAATGTCAGAAACAAAATCGGATTCATTGATGGTACGATTCCTCGACCTTTACAGAATGATAGAACGTATGGTGCTTGGTCTCGTTGTAACGATATGGTTGCAACATGGTTGATGAACTCGGTTTCAAAGAAGATAGGGCAGAGTCTCTTGTTTATCTCTACAGCTGAAGAAATCTGGAAAAATTTGATATCTAGATTTAAACAAGATGATGCACCTAGAGTTTATGACATAGAACAGAGGCTAAGTAAGATTGAACAAGGATCGATGGATGTATCAGCGTATTATACTGAGTTGATTACCTTATGGGAAGAACATAAGAATTTTGTAGAATTGCCAGTTTGTACTTGTGGCAAATGTGAATGTGATGCAGCTGCTTTATGGGAGAAATTGCAGCATCAGAGTCGAGTTACTAAGTTCTTAATGGGACTTAATGAGTCTTATGAACAGACTCGGCGTCATATACTCATGTTAAAGCCTATTCCAACGATTGAAGAAGCCTTCAACATTGTATGTCAAGATGAAAGGCAAAAGTCTATTCGCCCTACTACAAAACTTGATACTGTGGCGTTTAATGCCAATACACCTGTGCAGCAAGATGGACAATTGTTGCAAGGTTATACTGAGGAGAATGCTTATATTGCAGCTTATAATACTGCTCGTCCAGTGCAAAAGCCAGTTTGTACATATTGTGGAAAGATTGGTCACATTGTTAACAAATGCTTCAAGCTACATGGTTTTCCACCGGGCTACAAGAGTAATGGAAATGGGTTTCGTCCTCCGTTTCAGCCAAGGATGCAACAAACACAAACTCAGCCACGGATGCCACAAATGCAGACGCCTCAGTCTTTCCAGAATGCAAATGCAGTTGCTAATGTCTATTCAGACTCTGGTGGTTATTATCCGTATGAAGCTCCTCAGGGTATGCCTCATCTGACTAGTGGTGGTGCTAATCTGAATCTCCAGGATTTCACTCCACAGCAAATTCAAGGGTTGATTTCTCAATTTAAATCTCAAGTGCAAACTCAAGAGCCTGTTGCTTCTACTTCAAATACAGCTACCATTACTGACCAGGGTGTCATGGCTCAAATCACTACTTCGGGTAATGTCTCTTTCCCATCTACTAGTCTTAGATATGAAGATAACCGCCTTACTTTTCAAAACCATTGCCTATCGTCACTACAACATTTCCTTCCCCGTGATGCATGGATTATAGATAGTGGAGCCTCTAGTCATGTTTGTTCTGATCTAGAATTGTTTAGAGAAATTGTACCTGTATCTAGTGTTACTGTTACACTTCCAAATGGTACTAAGGTTCCTATTACACACACGGGCACAATATACATTACGGAATCATTAGTTTTGCATAATGTTTTGCATGTACCTGATTTTCATTTTAATCTCATTAGTGTTAGTGTTCTTGTTAAAACATTGTTATGTTCTGCTCATTTTTATTCCACATGTTGTTTGATTCAGGAACTTTCTCGCGGCTCGATGATTGGGAGGGGTAAACTTTACCACAACCTTTACATTCTTGAGAATGCAACCCTCTCATCATCACCTCCTGCATTGTTTTGTGGTTCAGTTTTGGCTGATGGGAATCTTTGGCATCATCGCCTTGGGCATCCCTCATCAGCAACTTTATTCAAACTCAAAGATTTGTTACCTGGCTTTAAACATGTTTCTTCTGAAGTGTCTCATTGTTCTGTGTGTTCATTAGCTAAACAGAAAAGATTAGCATATGTTTCTCATAATAATTTGGCTTCTAAGCCGTTTGATTTAGTTCATTTGGACATTTGGGGTCCTTTTAGTATTGAGTCTGTAGAAGGGTATAGATATTTTTTGACTTTGGTCGATGATTGTACAAGAGTCACTTGGTTATACATGTTGAGAAATAAAGGAGATGTTTCGAATATATTTCCTGCTTTTCTTACTTTGATTTCGACTCAATATAATGGCAAAGTTAAGGCAATACGTTCAGATAATGCACCCGAATTAGCTTTTACATCTTTACCAAAAGAACAAGGTATCTTCCACTACTTCTCATGTGCTTATACTCCTCAACAGAACTCTGTTGTTGAACGTAAGCATCAACATTTATTGAATGTGGCTAGATCCTTACTTTTTCAGTCAAACATACCTTTGCCATACTGGAGTGATTGTGTATTCACTGCTGTCTTCTTGATAAATAGATTGCCTTCTCCATTACTTGATAATAAATACCCTTTTGAATTGCTTTTAGGAAAGCTTCCTGATTATAAACTGTTAAAAGCTTTTGGTTCTTTGTGTTACACTTCAACGTTGATTAAAGATCAAAACAAGTTTTCACCTAGGGCCAAACCTTGTGTTTTTCTTGGATACCCTTCTGGTTATAAAGGTTATAAAGTTCTGGATTTAGAATCTCGTTCTGTGTCTATCTCTAGAAATGTCGTTTTTCATGAAACCATTTTTCCTTTTAAGACGAGTGAATTTGTTTCTGAAACTGTTGACATGTTTCCTAATACGATTTTACCATTACCTGCTCCATTACACTTTGTTGAAACCATGCCATTACCTGATCCACCTGCATCTGATTCATCACATCCATCTACATCTGATTCGTTACATCCACCTGCATCGGTTACATCACATCCACCTGCATCTAATACATCACATCTACCTGCATCTGTTTCATTAGATACTGCATCCCATTTACCTGCACATCTTAGTACCACAACATCGTCTAATACAGGGACACATGATATAGATATTAGTTCTGTATCTAATGCTAGGCCTAAACGAACTACTAGGGCTCCAAACTATCTTTCCCAGTATCATTGTAACCTTTTACCATTTTCATCATACACACCTTCCCCTTCACATACTACGCCTTATCCATTATCATCGGTTCTTTCTTATGACCATCTAAACATCCCTTACCAATCATATATCTTTGCCTATGATGTGGAGACTGAACCGAAAACATTCAAACAAGCCATGGCCTCTGAGAAATGGTCTAAAGCTGTGAATGTAGAGCTTCAAGCTCTCGAGGTCCAACATACTTGGGATGTGGAATCTTTACCTCCAGATAAGAACGTGGTCGGTTGTAAGTGGGTTTTCACAATAAAGTACAACTCAGATGGTTCGGTTGAAAGATACAAGGCGAGATTAGTTGCTCAAGGCTTCACACAGCAAGAGGGAGTGGATTTCATCGACACTTTTTCTCCTGTTGCAAAGTTAACGTGTGTAAAGCTTCTTCTTGGCCTTGCTTCTGTGAAAGGTTGGAGTCTCACACAAATGGATGTCTCCAATGCCTTCCTTCATGGAGATCTGGAAGAGGAGATTTACATGAGGCTTCCACCGGGTTACACTCCTGCAGTAGGTACTGTTTTACCTTCTAATCCTGTCTGTCGCCTACGTAAGTCTCTTTATGGCTTAAAACATGCATCTAGACAGTGGTATAAACGGTTTTCTTCTGTGTTGATGGGTGCTAACTATATTCAATCTCCGGCTGATAACACATTATTTGTCAGAGTGACTTCTACATCTTTTGCTGCTGTGCTGGTACATGTGGATGATATAATGATAGCCAGCAACAATGATGCAGCCGTTGAGAGTCTGAAGATGCTTCTCAGGTCAGCTTTTCAAATCAAAGACCTTGGTCCAACAAGATTTTTTTTGGGACTTGAGATTGCAAGATCTTCTGCTGGTATCTCTATTTGTCAGAGGAAATATGCCTTAGACTTATTAGCAGATACTGGTTTATTGGGTTGTAAGCCTAGTTCTATTCCGATGGATCCGAATCTTCATCTTACAAAGGATCTCGGAACACCTCTAGATACACCCTTGGCATATAGAGCTTTAGTTGGTCGACTGCTCTATCTTACCATTACCAGACCGGATATTACTTTTGCTGTGCATTAGTTGAGCCAGTTCTTATCAGCCCCAACGGACATTCACCTTCAAGCAGCACATAAAGTACTTAGGTATATCAAGAATAATCCAGGCCAAGGATTGATGTACTCTGCTAATACAGAATTATGCTTGAATGCCTTTGCTGACGCTGACTGGGCCACTT